TGGTTTACTTATTTAAATTTACATTTATACCATTAATTTGACTAGTGCCTTCACACTTTCACCGTCTTTGCTAGTTCATAGGAAGCCTGGAATTAGACCAATATATGGTTTAATTATTTCAATTTGTACTACTATAGTTTATCTGAAATTTATTAATTACTCCCAAATTAATACATGGTTTGATTTGCAAAATTCACTTTTCTTGGTCAAACAGTTTCATTTTATTCACTTAATTAGAATGTCAATTTTTAATTATATTTAATTAGGAGCTTGTAACTTTGAAGATATTTTAATATAGTTTTTGAATATGTAAATTTTAATTGCTAAAAATTGAATTAATTATTCATAAAGAGAATTTAACTTTAACATTGGTTGGCCAAAAAATAATGACTTTTCATGTCAATTTTGGATAGAGGGAGTATGAAAATTGATAAATTGTGTGGATTTTTGGAGGATGGTTATACTTTAATTTCCTCTTAAACACAGAAAAAAATGGCATTGTTTGGTATTGGTATGGCATGGTACCGTCCCGTTTGAAAATGGAACCGTACCGAACGGTTTTAGGTCTAAGACTGAACCGGACCTGACCGTTTGAATAGTCACGGTACGGGTACGGGTTCAACCAAATATTGGACCGGACCGGACCGCGCCCACCCCTATAATACACTCAAACGTTTAAGACACGTATAATTCTGAAATACATATTTCACTTATAATACACTCAAACATATATTTCCAAAAAATGCCGAAAAATTCACGTACTTTAAAGATAAAATGTACTCCAGATAATACATGTACCCTATGTATTGATACGTACATAAATGTTTAAAATATTATATCTAGAATCTTAAACTTATTATATATAGGGGAGGTAGAATTCTAACTTATTACTCCGTATATATATACATGGGAAGAACTCTTTGTATTTGAACTCTTCCCTATTTATACACATATACATATACATAATGGTCTTCCGCACTTGCAGTGTGAGAGGATTTGTGCCCAATCATAAAGCATTAAAATTTGGCGTAGGACAACTAACAAGCATACATATTAAGCTAGAATTTTGAGATATAAAACATGTACTGAAAAAAAGAATAACAATTGATCAATGCAATGTAATGCAATTCGTAAGACATTAATGTATGTCTGGTTAATAACCTAACTAGGAGTAAAAGGTAGCTAAAATCACAAATAGGACACGATTGTACTAAATTTCCTAGAAGAACTAATAATGTGTGTTTGGACAAATTTACATTTGTAACTTGTTGGGCGAAAATAAATATTTAATAAAATTATTAAAAAAAAGTTAGATAAGTAAATATTATAATTTAAAAATAAATAAAAAATTAGAAAAAAATTACAAATTAAAAAAATAAAAAATAGAAAAATAAAAAAACATAAATAAATAAATAAATAAATAAATAAAAATACGCCACCCGTAGCACAACCAGTTTGACCAGCTTTAAAAAAAATGTCAACATGCATTAGAAATGTCATATTGATGGAAGTTTCATTGAAATTTTTGGCATTATGAACGAGTAATATGCCATTTTCTTCGCATTTTCAGAAAAAAAAATGAAATTTTTTACAAAAAATGGAAAATTTTCACCGATCAGAGGTGGTAGTGCTGGAAGGCGCTAGAGGCAGTGGGAAAGGCATCCATATTTTTTAATATATTTTTATGGGTTTTTACTATTTTTTAATAATTTTTTATTTTTAAATTTTTTCAATTTTTAAAAAAAATAATTTTTTTATTATTTTTTACGGATTTTATTATTGTTTTACGATTTATTATGGATTAAAACATTTTATTATGAATTAATACTCTTAGGGGTATTTGGGATCGAAAAACAATAGGGAAAGTTCCCGAAATAGGACTAAAACAGTTTGATAATTCCAAAATAGGACTGACATGTTTTTATTCCCAAAATAGGAGTAATTACTGTCAAGTTTGGAAAATACTGTCATGTTTGAAGTCTGGTACTGAAAAAACATGACAGTAATTAGTCTTATTTTGGGAATAAAAACATGACAGTCCTATTTTGGGATTTTCAAACCTTTTTAGTCCTATTTCAGGTAATAATAACAACTACTACCTCCGTCCCACTAAGATTGAGACGGAAAAGGGTGGCACGATTATTAAGAAAAGTGGGTTTGTGTGGTTGATATTAAATTGATAAAGTAAGAATAAAGTAAGAATTGTTTATAGCCACATAATCTTTACCAAATTTGGTATGGAACAATCTTAGTGGGACTTCCCGAAAAGGTAAAATGGGACAATCTTAGCGGGACGGAGGGAGTATTTATTAATAATAAAAATGATCAGTAAAAAAATAATCCTGATAGCCTAAGGCCACAATGAGATGAGACATGGAATTGAATAGTTGCAAAGGAACATAAAAATTCACTAACCCCGCAAAGATGTAGACTGTTCTATCAATATAGAAGCTCCTGCTACTTAGCTTAACCAATAATCAATACTAGAAAAGTACTAATATGGGACAAAAAACAAACATATAAATCGGTTTCACCATCCACCGACAAGTAAATAATATAATATCTTGTTTGTCCAGCCAGCAGAAAGAAACAACTAAAATCCTCAGTTTGACCAGCTACTAGGAACAAATTGCAAATGTCATCAGTTTGATCAACCATCGACAAAAAGATCCAATCGAACGTTATATTTCTCTCATAGCACAGCGGTGGTTTAGGAGGAGGGCGAATAATTAAGGTTTTGGAATCGTTGATGTCTGAAGTTAACCTCCCAAACAAATCAAGCAGGATAAGCAATTCCATCCACCGCCAATAAAATTTCAACGCCTGATCGGTTTCACCGACGAGAAATACACAAACCCTAAACATTGCTAGGAAGAAACCACATAAAATAACTTGAAAATACTTACGAAAGAGATAAATTTTCATCTTTAGGAAGAGAAAACTAATAGAGAAGAAGAGAATAGAGGGGGAAGGCTAGGGTTTCACCGTTTTACCTTTACTTTACTTTTACCCTTCGCCGCTCCCCAAGTCGCCCTTTAAGTTTCCTTCTGCCAACCAAGAACGTTGTCAGGAGTATGAGTTGGATTGGGCCGGTACAAAGATTTTTTACAGATAAATTTGTACACATAAATTTTTTCATTAAAAATATAAGTAGTTTTAAAATTTGAGATGGGCCGGGGCCCGGTTGGCCACCCCTCCACCTCCGCCCTTGCTGCCAACTGATTTTAGTCCTGTTTGTGAAATTAGGTTTTCATTTAGTCCTATTTAGGACAATTAGTACGATGTGAAAACATAAAGAGCTGAATTATTTGGTACGGTAAAAGATAAGTTGGCAAATATGGTGTAAATGTGTAATACATATTGTTCTCAACAATTTCGTAGGAAACAACTTCTAAAGGAAGAAAAGTAAGTTCGGTACACTGAGATAAGTTTTTAACTTGGCAAATTGTTTTAAGTCGAGATGCGCATTTATTTATAACTATTGGAGGTAACTAGGGCGGCACAAGAATAACCCGAACCCGCATAACCCGCCCGACCCAACCCTACCCGACCCTATTTAATCGGGTATTTGATTTTTTAAAATATTCATGGGTTAAATATGTTTGAACCCGCACCCAATGGGTAGAGTTGCAGAATTAAAATCTCAAACCCGATAGTACCCGACCCGGCCGAAGTTCATTTTACTATTATTATGCTACAACATTTTCTTGGATAATTTCAATTTAAGACCAATGTGCTCTATCTAGGACTTTATGATATTAGAATTATAATTAAACATTTATCATTTTGACTAGGTGATTATTATATATTTATGTTTCCTTTTAAATGAACTTCCTTTACGGAAGGATGTTTTAATACTATTACCTAATGTTTTTGCTTATAAAAGATACGAGTACTTGTATTTGTTTGTGTGTTTTGGAAACAAGTTAATCGAGTTTTAAATTGGTTACATTAATTTCTCACATGAAAGATGGCAACCCGAAGTGATTTTTTTCTCCAACACCCGACCCTACCCGACCCGCTCATGCATGGTTTACCAACTTATTTTTCGTACCGCGGGTTGGTTAATAGCCAACCCGAACAAATCGGGTAGGCCCAAAAAACATAGCAAACCCGACCCAACCCGCCCGATGTGCAGCCCTAGAGGTAACATTGATGCTTCAATTATTAATTGGATATTTAAGACGACCAAAAAAATTGGATATTTAAATTAGAGCATAGCCATAGATAGAATACAATGAACATACAACTCTGGAACAATACATAAATATAGAGTCCCGCTCGAGCCTGAAACTTCTAACGAAACCGCCGTGCGGAATTCGTTGTTTAGGATGATTCCCGGTGGAACTTTGATGGAATTTTTTGTCTAATTTATGCTCACCAAATTTCAGCTTAAAATTCAATCAGGAAGACAATTAAATAAATTATTGAAGCATACTACGCGCACTATGTTTCAATAATTTATGTAACTAACTTCCCGATTGAATTTTAAGCTAAAATTTGATGAGCATAAATTAGACTTAATAAAGAACTTGCTTGAAAAATTCATCAAAAAATTCCACAAGGAACCGGAACCGGCCCGGTCACTGTTTGAACCGGCCCGGCCCGGTGGCCAGGCCCATGGGCGGTTCGGGTCGACCCGGCCCGGTGGCTACTGGTTCCGGGCTCGGGCCTTCATTTTGGTGAACCGGCCCGGCCGGTTCGGGCCTGATTTAATTTTTTTTGAATTTTTTTAAGTTTTTGGGTTGGATTGGGTATTTTGGGCCATTTGAGGTGGTTTGGGGTTGAGGGGGAGGGTAGGGGGTTGATTAGGAAAACCCAAAAAAAAAAATTATATAGAACCGAACCGGGCCTGGCCCGAACCGGACCCGGGGTTACCGGGCCGGTTCCGGGCCTCCCCTACCTTGAACCGAGGCCCGGCCAGTTCAAGGCCCGAACCGGGCCCGGCCCGAAACCGGTCCACCCCTATAGTCACGTACAATTCCAAATATACCAAATAGTGAATTACGAAGGACAAATATTGAAATTTCTGCACGAAGAAACAAATTCACAATATCCAATTATATCATTACATCATAATTTATTTATTCACTATTGCAAAGTACAAACATAAACCTTTATTCTGGGTTTATTTACATAAAAAATGGACACAACATCAATTCAAATGAGAAACCTGAAAAACTAGGAGAACTTCTGTACAACACACAAGCTTTCATAGCATCATTTTATTGTATCTTGACAAAGTTAATCCATCAATATATTAACAGAAGAAGCTACCGGGCTGGGCTGCAACTCAACCATACAACCGTATACGAGTTTTAATGGGCTCTCGGCACATCGGGCATAAAGATATCGAGGCCCCACATTCCCTGCAAGTCTGATCCAATAAAACCGCAAGGTAATTGTCTCTTTAACTGTCAAAGTTAGCAAAAGAATTTTTTGGCAGTGATATGACAGGTAGCATGTAGGATAGTAGTATAATGCTTACCAGATGACCGCAACCAAAAGCCATGTCCTTCTGATTTGTCAAACAGATGGGGCAAACCTTTTTGTTTATACACGAAGGAAGAAAGTAAATGCTCAAAACTAAGTCTTCCGGCCCGGTCACTGTTTGAACCGGCCCGGCCCGGTGGCCAGGCCCATGGGCGGTTCGGGTCGACCCGGCCCGGTGGCTACTGGTTCCGGGCTCGGGCCTTCATTTTGGTGAACCGGCCCGGCCGGTTCGGGCCTGATTTAATTTTTTTTGAATTTTTTTAAGTTTTTGGGTTGGATTGGGTATTTTGGGCCATTTGAGGTGGTTTGGGGTTGAGGGGGAGGGTAGGGGGTTGATTAGGAAAACCCAAAAAAAAAAATTATATAGAACCGAACCGGGCCTGGCCCGAACCGGACCCGGGGTTACCGGGCCGGTTCCGGGCCTCCCCTACCTTGAACCGAGGCCCGGCCAGTTCAAGGCCCGAACCGGGCCCGGCCCGAAACCGGTCCACCCCTATAGTCACGTACAATTCCAAATATACCAAATAGTGAATTACGAAGGACAAATATTGAAATTTCTGCACGAAGAAACAAATTCACAATATCCAATTATATCATTACATCATAATTTATTTATTCACTATTGCAAAGTACAAACATAAACCTTTATTCTGGGTTTATTTACATAAAAAATGGACACAACATCAATTCAAATGAGAAACCTGAAAAACTAGGAGAACTTCTGTACAACACACAAGCTTTCATAGCATCATTTTATTGTATCTTGACAAAGTTAATCCATCAATATATTAACAGAAGAAGCTACCGGGCTGGGCTGCAACTCAACCATACAACCGTATACGAGTTTTAATGGGCTCTCGGCACATCGGGCATAAAGATATCGAGGCCCCACATTCCCTGCAAGTCTGATCCAATAAAACCGCAAGGTAATTGTCTCTTTAACTGTCAAAGTTAGCAAAAGAATTTTTTGGCAGTGATATGACAGGTAGCATGTAGGATAGTAGTATAATGCTTACCAGATGACCGCAACCAAAAGCCATGTCCTTCTGATTTGTCAAACAGATGGGGCAAACCTTTTTGTTTATACACGAAGGAAGAAAGTAAATGCTCAAAACTAAGTCTTCCGGGTCCGTTTGATTGCATTGAATAAAAAAAATGTTTGGACTTTCCTTTGTTTGGCACCCAAAAACATTTTTTGAAGTTTCTTGTGTTCGGCATTAACAAAACATTTTCCTTAATCACATACGCAGTATTTTTTGTTTTGACCATTGTGGGTCATTCATTACTCATAAGAACGATTTATTTTCAACGAAAACAATTTGTGAAAAATATTTTTCAGTCTGTTTTCCTACAATTTAAAAGGAGTCTTATATTACGTCTTTCTTGATCTTAGACGGAGATAAATCAAATACTATATTAAACCTCAAAATTATGTCCTTCAAAGTCAGATAACATAAACACATACTTGTTCTGCTGCAGCAAGGATGGCTGTTGGTTCAAAGCTTGGTGCATGTGGAAATGCGAGTATAACATGATCATGGTCAATTACTTCACGTGGAGGAGGAAGCGGCCTTGCGCGAGGACCTTTTTTGTTTCTGAAAACGAAGTTTCGGTGAAAAGAACACTAGTTATGTTGAAAAGTGTCCCATGTTGGCTGAATATGAAAGAATTAACCCCTTCATAAATGTTGGGCAATCCTCGCATTTCGGGAATTCTTTGAGGTTGGGTTTAGACCCAATTACCCAGCACTTATTTTTGACAAAATATTCACCAGAGAGCAAGTAGATACAGGAAATAAGAAATCTTACTCCATGCATTGAAGGCTTTGGGCGAGTCTGTACTGAAATGGAATTTCCATAAGGGCAGCAAGTGCAAAGGCTGCTTCCTTCTTTTCAATATCCATGTGCTTAGACATAATGGATGTGAAGTTCACAAACTGCAAGGCAGCATGTATTTGAGAAAAATTAGGTGGGAAAAAAGGAATTCTGGAGGCAGTTCTAAGTTCATGTTCCCTCAACCAAAATCTAAACATCAACTATTCATATTCTATACCACATACTCATTACTTCATTAGGTATCATAGATGATCATTGAGTGATTGATTTATTATTGAGCAAGACAAAAAGTAGCAGTACCTGGAAGTTATCGAAATTCCGATGAGGAATGTTATCATCAAATTGACGCATTTCATCCCACGGTCCATCTCCCACACCAACCAGAATAATTGAAAGAGGATAATTGCTATGTACATTATATTGGAAATCAAACAGGAAAATGCCACAATCATCCTCACATGAATAGTCAATGTATATCAATGTATAAAGTATATGCTCTTGGCTCAAATGTGCTTTTATACTCGGGCAAATATAGTGTTTTCGTTTTAGGTTCCCTGCAATTTCTTTTATCCCTATAATAGCACTACGTTCATTTTAGTGCCTTAGCCAACTCTCCAGCAACCTATGTTTAATGATAAAAAAAACAAGACTAACATAATTTCTGTCTTTCTTTTTCACATGATTTCGTTTTTAAAAATTACTCAACTTTATTTACCCATAGCCTATAATCCTATACTAAAAGCGTGAATGATTAGTTTCTTAACTCACTAATAGCTTCCAAAAGTTCATAAAAAGTTGATGCTAAAAAGATTAGAGAGGAGTTATGTGAGCGACAATTTTGAGTGTTAGATAGAGAGTAAAAACAGAAAAACATATATATATGTATATATATATATATATATATATATATACAGAAAAGATCAGGTCCCTCCGGAGGGACGGGAGGGACCGTCCGAACTTTACTGTTTGGGGCGGTTCCCGGTGGAATTTTTTGATGAAAATTTTTGAGCATGTTCCTCATCAAGTCTAGTTTGTCCATACCAAATTTCAGCTCAAAATTCGACCGGGAAGGCAGTCAAATAAATTCTTGAAGCTTACTGCACATTCTGCGCATATATAAAGTGCAGTAAGTTTCAAGAATTTATTTGACTGCCTTCCCGGTCGAATTTTGAGCTGAAATTTGGTATGGACAAACTAGACTTGATGAGGAACATGCTCAAAAATTTTCATCAAAAAATTCCACCGGGAACCGCCCCAAACAGTAAAGTTCGGACGGTCCCTCCCGTCCCTCCGGAGGGACCTGAGCAGTCCTCTCTCTCTCTCTCTATATATATATATATATATATATATTTATATATGTATAGAGAGAGAGAGAGAGTAAGGATCAAATGAGAATAGCATCTTAGGAGAGAAATGAGAATGATTTTGGAGCGTTGGATTTGAGTATTGTGCATCATGTAAAACAGAAACGTGCATATAAAAAATTGGAAAATGTGCATTTCAACTGCAAAAGTTCAAACGTAAATGTGCACATTAGAACATTGCATTATTTTAAGTATAAATGTGCATCGTTTTGGAGCGTTCTCATTTCTCGCGTTAAGGAGTGTTCTCACCGGAACCACACCCTATATAAATATATACATATTATAGAGATATAAAAAATTGTAGCAGTTTAAACAAAAAGTGCTATATTTGTAGGGATTAAAACAGATTTAAGCATATACAGGTATTATTTATTTTGATGAAGAATGGTCTACCTTGCAGCAACTATAGAATCAACAGTAGCCTGTTCTTGCGGGCTTAGCATACCAGGTGGTGTGTCAAGGCTCCTGGTTACCTGATTAAAAAATTAGGAAATAAATGCAGGCAATATTTCAAAATAAAACTAAAGAAGGAAGGAAACAAACCTGTCCATCAGCAATAATGACAAGGACATGATACTGTCTGTTGCTTGCTTCAACTATATCAGTAGCAACATTTATAATTGGGGCAAATGAAGTTGGGCCTTCAAGTTAAGCATATAAACAAAAATTTAGTCATTGTTGTATCCTTAAATGGGAGTTTTAACTGGCGAAAAAAATATAGAGAACTAGAACCAATATGAGGCACCACACCCACATGTATAAATGACTAGAAGAAATCAGGTCGAACACAAAACCTGGGGATGTGAAGCATTTGTTAAGTCCCACATTGATCGTAGACTAGGGTTGATTCTCTTATATAATTGTGAGGCAAACATACCTTTTTGAGGATCCTTTTAGAGCAAGCTAGGCCCAATTTAACATGTCACTAGAGTGATATGATGGTGGTCTGTTAAGTGCATGTGTACTCAATGTTTTGGCGGTTTGGGGAAACCTATTTGAAGATCTGTGTGGGACTGTGGGCCCATTTTCCAATCCTTCAATTGTTCAGTCTGGCATGGGATGAGGGTGTGTTCAGCATGCAACACCAGCATTGGGTTTGAGTATAGTGTATAAAGTGTGAGGTAAACCTCACCTATTAAGAATCCTTTCGTAATGAGTTACTCCTAATTTAACAAATGCTAGTCTAATGAAATATAGATCATGTCCAAGCATTAAATATTTATATTCCTATTCATTCCCAACTTTCACCCATTATTTAACTGCAAAATGATATTATAATATAACTGATAAAATTCTTCCAAAAAAATAACGGATAAAACACTGCTTCAAACCTGCCAATTTTAGGTAAGGTACAATTTCTCTATAACGAGCAAGAGCTTCCTCAAATCCGTGACAAGGTCGATGGTCAGGGAAAAAGCTAAACACGTGTTGATCATGTGTTGTGGCTGAAAAGGTGATGAATGCAACATCTTAGGTTAAGTCAAGACACATACAACACGTTTCAAATCAGGAAATATGTTAGTGAAGATGGTATAATAAATATGTAGTAATGAGACTAACCGTCACCAAATCCAAAACAAGGTATTAAGTTGTCCTCATCAAAAGGAGACAAAGTTCGCCCAACTATGGAGATGGCTTGCTCATATGGATTTGGTGTATTACCAATTGCATGCAGACTTTTGTGATTGAATGAATGTTTTCCTGCAAGCATTAACTTTGTCAATAATTTATTCTTCTCTATAAGCAAACTAAGCTAGTAATACATTACTACTTCCACCCCAAAAAAAAAGGTCATGTTTGACCATTGTACAAATTTTTTAGTTTGATATGGTACAACTATCATAAATCATATGTTAAGATCTGAGGTTTCGTCCTAAAATATTAACCTAGGTACTGGCGGACATGCTTTGTTCAAGAGTGTTCATGTGAACAACTGAACACCCAAAATTGTGAAAATAAAACGTAAAAATACTTATACATAAAATTGATGTAATATTTTATAATATTGTATTATATATGTATAATATTCTTACCCTTAACCCTATTTGCTAATTTTTATTATTGAAAAAGTTACATTTCTTCAATTGTTGGATAAGAGAATAGCATTGTGCAATATTGTAATGGGAAATTAATTTTGAACACGCAACATTTGGTTACATGATCTGCCAATGAGTAATAGGAGCATTCCAATATCCTATATGGCAGTTTAATACTCCCTCCGTTCTTTTTTAAATGCAACATTGGACTTTTTCCACTATTCACATGTTCTACGTACTTTGACTCTATGTTATTTATTAATGAATTACGGAGTATAAATGTAATTTAAGAAAAATATTGTTAAATTCTTCTCATTTCAAATTTTCAAAATCTAATTATTTTAATTTTTTTACTAATAAAGAATGAAAGATATTAATGGTCAAACTTGTGTGTTGGCAAACGTGAAAAGCGGACCGTTGCATTTAAAAAAGAACGGAGGAAGTAGTTAATATTTTTACCACGCAGTGTGGGAAATATTTCAACGAGCATACTTATATAGTTATATTTCTTAAATTTATTTATTGGCTTGAAAAGAATCTGTTTTTGGCACAAAATACGCTTGAAGTATGGCCTTTTTGGGCAAAGGGAGTAAGAACTATATTAAAGACAATAACTTACCAGCCCACTCGTTGCTTTTTGTAAAATCTATACCAAGAATCAAGTTTGATGATTCAAGGCCCGCCTCTCTCAACGCATTAATCACCTGAACATATAAGTAATAAAAATATTTATCTTCCTTTAAATGCGTACACTATTAGCAAAAAATGAAAGTGGTCTTGCATGGCAGAGAACCACTATTTGCAAGACAATAAACCATAATAAAATGCAGGGTCATGTTACCCATAGCCTTTAGGGAAATGGTCATGCTAACCATATCCCTTAGTGAAATAGTCAAAGAACTAAAAGTAGTTTTTTTAGATCTAAATAATAGTAGTGTGTACTTTTTACATATCTCAATGCATTTTTTTGAAATTTAATGAAAACCTTTCCACTTTTGATTCTTTAAACAAAGTTTCAAGGCCTGTGGGCTACGGTTAGCATTTGTCTAGGAATTTTTTTTATGTACTTCTTTACAAGTAAATGCATCGAATTGTATTATATCAACTTCAACATCAATGGACATTAATACAAAATTTCTGAACTTCCAGAAAAAGAAGCAAGTAACTTTTTCTCCAGGTTGATCTAAGGTAACTATCCTAATTGTCCCTTATATCTTTGCCAACTTTCGTTTTTGGTTGTCCCACAAACATTGCCAGTTTCTCTTTTAAATAAAGATTTTGTATCTCTTGTTAATTATCTCTCCTCTGCACAAAACTCAGTCACACAGTTTTTACTTTGTTATTCTATAAATCTACATGCCAATCAACTTTGAAAAAGTTATAAGGGACGGAGTCACAAAGGATAGTATTACAAAGCAAAGTTCTAAGAAATAAAGCTTACAGATTGCAAGAAACTAATAACTATTAAGTATTACACATTACAAGAATAACAAGATATCTAGTATAGCATGTACTTTCTGCAACCAGTAAATCTGACCCCTGCAATCTTTCAGGCCTCTTCTTTTTTCATCCCCTTTGGGCTTTGGCTCTTGTTTGGTGATGGATTTTTGGAGGGATGTGGGTTATAGTCTATACTCATTTTATTAATGTATTCTTACTTTTAGATTGTTGGAAAGAAAGTGAAGATGAAACATTAAATAGAGAAACATGAGATAAACAAACAGTTATTTCATAGTCTATGAAAATTGAGATAAATTAATAAAACAAAGAGTACCTGGTCCAAGGAATTAAAGTTGTCAGCTATATAGGAGGCTTGTGGTTTCTTTTTATTATCGGTCTTAATTGAACTTCCAAATTGTGAAGGACCTTGATCTTCGTAGTTTGTAGTATCACCGGAATGTCCTGTATATGCTGTAGATTGATATGGGTATCCAGCTCCCGCTACATTTCTTGCACTCTCTGGGCTTTGTTGATAATAAGCATCATGGGACTCATCAACTCTTGATTCTTTGTTTCCCATTACTTAAGTGTGTCTCATCCACTTTTGACAGTTTACACTTTCTGCATATGCAATTTTTTCCAAGGAAGAACTCAGTTTTGCATGATTAATGATGATCAGTACTAATCATATCACTGAGTATTCAAAGCCACTGCCTCACATAGTATATCACATCTATCATTTTGATCAAACTATATATACTACTACGTATTAGTTATTTAGCTAAAGTTACTGAATTTTTATGTATTGACTAATCAGACAATATTAAAAATAAATGAACAATTTAAAATATTTTCCAAGATAACCTCATTACTCGTGCATGTTATATACTACTTCCGTTATACTACATTTTATTTCTTAATGTATTATAAATTACATGTCGGACACATATTGTTAAATTCCTCTAATTTTAAATTTTAAAAATCTGAACTTTCTAAATTCTAATATGAAAAGAAAGATATTAATAGTCATGCGTTGCCAAACATGAAAAGCAGACCTTTGCAACTAAAAGAACAGAATGGGCCATTGCAAATTAGTAAAGCAGAGTACCCTAAATAAAAATAAAAGAATGTTTGAAGCCTTATCATTTTCCTACGAGTAGTAAGTAGTAACTAGAGCATGAGAATTTGCTCACTGTCAGAATATTGTGTTGATTTCAAATTAAATCTTGGGTTGCGATCGGATAGCCCTCAGTATTCAGTAATATACCCAAAAACTGGTCTAGGGTTCAGACAGCAGCCTATATACGAAGTTCACTTTCAATAAATTAAAGACAGGAAGGGAGGGGCTATCTCTGACATGTTAAATAGAATTGATGCAGGAGGGCACCCGTTGATAGCAGAAAGAGAGAAGAAGGTGATCTGTGTTCTCTAATGCCATTTCCTTTTTTGTTTTGCCTTTTTAGTTTTGCGTGTTTTCTTTCTTTTCTTGCTAGTTGCCTGAACGGTTGAGTGGCAGTTTTCTTTCTTTTGAAGGAATTGGATCCCTCGGGTTCATAGTTTTGGCATATTTCAATTAGGGGTGGGATCGGTCCGGTCTGGGTCGGGTTTTTGCTAAACTCGAAAATTATCCGGAAGGTTTCGGTGTATGAAAATTAGGGACCGGAACAAAGTCCATTATATTCGGTTCGAGTCGGGTTTTTGGTAGCCCGGTTTCGATCTGGGTTCAGGTTTGGCCGGTTAAAGCCCGAACGTGAAATATCTCATTATTATTTGATATTTTAACACCTATTTTCAAATAAAATTAATCAAAAATACAAAGCGCAGACAATAACACAAATATTAGTCTCCAAAATCACCAACAATTCAAATTTAAAGAAGATAATTATCTTAATATTTTATTTAAGATGCATATAAATAAATAATATAGGTTTCTCAAAAACATTACAAAATAAAATTTATAGATAAAAATGTGACTAGAGTTGCTATAAATATATTTTCATGGTCATTACGCTAAAGCTGGATCTCGACAAACTTCACGAATTTTGCCCAAGCTGGAACCCTGGCTTAGTTGTGAAATATGCGCTTCAGAATTTGACTGTTCTGTCACTGGACTTAGTCCTCCTACTTCACCTGGAATGTGAAATCGGAGAACAACAAAGCATAAGACACTCCAAACACTCATGTAGAACAAAAGTTGGGGTCGAAAAGACACTACACATGTGTATGTGGAGCCATCATTAACAATTAATACCTCAAACCCTTCTAGCACCTACAATAAATTTCCACAAGTCTCACAAGATACAAAAAAAATGTAAATGAAATGGCATATAGCAAATACCTTATTTCTATCCTCGGCTCTACCTTTGTCTCCTCTAGATCCCCTTTCCATTTCTAGGTCCTCTTCCTCCTCTAATGGCTCCCCCCACCTTTTTTGTTAGGTTCAGTTGTGACGCGTATGAAAGAATTTTAGTTGAACCAACATTTATTTTATGTACTAAATAACTTCAAGGTTGAGTTTTTTTTGTTTGTTACGGAGTATTATCATCTACTACTTTCAACCATTAAAATTTAAATTTTATCAAAGCCACATATTGGAGTCGTTTGTATTTCGGCGTTTTGGCCTTCAAACGCTGCGATTAGCAATGTTCCACTCATAAATAAAATGGTGTTTTGGGCTGAATAGCCAAAATCCAAACGCAGCCATTATATAGTCACTTTTGCACCTTATAATTTATTTAGAAGTTCACATTATCTATCTTAATAAAAACAGTGTTATTATTCTCAATAAAAGCTAATATATTACATGCTCTAAGACTTTCCGTACCCCTGCACCGTTTAAAAATTTAAATATGAACTCCGTCTGTATCAAAACAATGTGATAGAGTATATAGATTCGGACCCCCGGTCTCACCGCTATTATATTGGGCATGAGCAACATCCTACACATGCTTAGCGGGCATCATTCATATTATTGTACAATTCATGTATCATCTTTATCCACTAGATTAGCTTTTTATGCAGTTGGGACTATCGATCGGACCCATATTAACGATTTGGCCCGCTCTTTCTCTATATGTACTCTTCTTGGAGCTTCTTGTAAACCCTAATAAATATTATACACATTTTTATCCTTCTCTCTAGTTCTTATCTCTCTAATATTATATGCTTGAATACTCCTATTATCCATCACAATGTTTAGACGACATCACTATTGTTTTTCCCTGCATTATAGCACTCTAAATAAAATACTCTCACCATATTTGTTTTACATATGAGTTTATTGAAACATTAATTAAATTATTATAAGTAATTTTTTTTTATGTTTTTTGTGAATAGTTATGAAATATAAAAACACATCTTGATGTTAATAAATTAAAAAAACCATTATTTTTTTTAAATTTTTTTCCAATTTTAATAAAAAATAAAATGATCTCATGTAAAGTTCGGTTATTTATGGAGGCCTCATGGATTAAAGGTTTGTATTTCATGTGTTTTTTGGCCCCCAAAAATTCCATCCATTAAAATTTCAGAATTTTTTATTATATATATATAATATGGGTGTCAGATGTAATAGGTAATTTGGACACTATGGTCATACGTGAATATCATATATGACACGAAGGTTTCAAATAGACCATATATGCACACATTTAACATTTTTATCATTTTTGAACACCAACCAAAGATTTTTAAATATTTGTCAATGAAAACAATTAGTATTCCTTCGTTTTTTGTACCAAAAAAATTAAAATAAATTAATTAATGTATTTGGATTTATAATATATAATTAGAAGTTCCAATTATAGTGTTTAGACGTTTTAATATCTGGATTTAAAATTAGAAGTTGTCCAGAGCACTGAACATTCGTAACACCTCCATTCTCAATTTTCCTCTATTTTGGAAATTAGGGTTCGTGGTCATTAAAGTGAGCAATACACATAGACAGTGAGCATGACCAGTGAACATTACATGACAATAGATATGATTGAATATGGAGAATGAATATGACAATAGATAATGTTCTATATGAGCATTGAATGAATGCATTAAGGAAATGTGTTGGGCATTGAATATATGTGTTATACATGGCAGTGATCGAATAAACGCATTAAGGAAGTTTGTTGTGCAGTGACTATGACCGGTAGTGAAGTAAAACAATGCAGTAATTTTGTCATGAAAACACAATATACTTAATTAGACGTAAAAAAATAAAATTACTAAATCTAAAAAATAAAAAATAAAAACTATAAATAGTTTCCTAAAGTGAATTAGAAGGGAATTGAAGTGCAGTGATTATTACCAGATGTGTAGTAATGTCGTGCAGTAATGTCGTGCAATAATAACAGTATATAAAGTGTATTAATTTTAATTGGAGTAAATTAGTGCAAAATGCACATATTTTTAAATAAGGGTATTTTCGTCATTCAACATTCAACATTCATATACAAACATTTTTTTGTTTTGGATTTTCGGTCATATAAATGTCTAAAAAACTAAATCAGTCATATTTAGGGAAATCAAATAATGAGTTTTAGTCATATCCTAGGAAATTTGCCTTCATTTTTTTGCCAATATACACACTGACACACTAGCGTATATATTACACACATATACATTGTGTTGGGTGTGTTTCGAAAAACAAAGAAAATTAATTAATTAAAATGACTAAAGAAAAACAAGAAAAGAGATGGAGCAAAAATTAGTCAAAGCTCGTGCGTAGCACGATGTCTTTAAAACGTATCCGTTGAATCCCGGGGTGCTAGGAGCGTTGCAACGATCGTTTCGGATACGATGACTACAAGCTATTCGTTAAACACTCAACCGAATATTTCTAGCGAACAAGAATAAATCGAGAACACAGAGGAAGTTTTTGGAATGCCAAATGTGTTTTTTCAGCTCTGAAAATACACATTTTTGTGTGTATGAACATGTTGTTGCAAAGAGAGCATTTCCACTTAAGAATTATAACTCATTAGAATGGGCTTCCCTTTATAAGGGGTTCGAATTCCCTTGAGTTTTCCGGTGTGGGAAATAACCACACTAGAAACCTATCTTTTCCTAGTTTTCAACATTTCAACGATTGAACTTCGAGAATCAATTTCTCATTCACCCGTTATCCGTTTTGAGCGTACCATATATCGAATTGTAGCCCTAAGCAAGAGCAACCCGAAACCATTTTGACCCGACCCAAACCAAAAGTGGACTCCACTCAAAAAATTGTCTCAAAATGACCATCTAATGCAATTTATTAACACATTTTCCTACACATTAGACTGCACTTGACGCCTTCACGGTACGTGGAGTTTTTTGTGTGATTCTCATGTTGAAGGCCGTTAGGAATGTTTTCTGACTTGGGATTTGCCGTTGTTTGGAATTTGCAGTCATGTGCTCTTGAATTTTTTTTCCCGTTCTTCTTTGCTCAATAGTTTTCTTCCCTCATTTGTGTTAGCTTTTGCTTAGCTTCATTTGATTCTTTACCTCATCAGTGTGTATTTTCTTTAATTTTTTGAAGAGGAAACACTTAACTTTCATTCAAGGAATCAGAGTTCAATACATGAGTAATAAAATGAGGAGGAAAATCATCCCAATAACAACAATCAGACATAGAACAAACGGCTTTAGCTAAACTATGAGCCACCCTATTCGCTGACCGTCTAATATGAGTAAAAGAGATATCAGTGTGTATTTTCTTTCACCTATAATAACAAGTTTTTTTTCAATATGTATATACTAACACACACACAAACATACAATCTTGAGTCTTCTTGAAACACATCACACAAAAAAACTTGTGTATTAAACTTATGATAAGATGTTTGGCTTTTGGCGTTTCGGCCAAAACGCCAACATGATTTATACTAAAAACACTACAAATAGTAGCGGATTTGGCTGGCGTTTCCACTCAACTGCCGATAAACAAACGAACCCAAGATCAATTGTCTTCCATGACTTGTACGGAGTAAGTGATATCCTATGATCAATACCGACAATACGGAATATATTTTAAATAATAAGAATTGTAAATTATACTCTGTACGTACTTCTTTAAAGTATGTAGTATAACAAAGCTATGAAAAAATTATAATAAAAACCACAATTACTTCACAATGACATATTCACTTTTGGCTCCCCGTTACCACATGTCACCCATATAAAGAAAAAATCTTTAATTGGTTATGATTTCTATTTATATACTTTTTCATTGTCTTATAACTTTGTCATATTTGCCTTTCATTGTCTATACAATTTATCATTTTTTCTTTAAATTGTCATATGCAGATATACTCCTCCGTCCCTAAAACAAAGTTCCACTTTCCTAAAATGAAAATTCCTAAATTAAAGTCTCACTTTCTTAACTTCTTTGTTTGATAAACAAATCCCAATCTATATCAAACAATGCAAAACAATGTCAAAAAGTATCAAAAAGTGTCGCCAAGTGTGAAATCAAATCATTTCCTTGATATATATATATATATATATATATATATATATATGTGTGTGTGTGTGTGTGTGTGTGTGAAGTGAAACTAGGACATTTATTTAGGGACAAATGGAGTATAAATTAATTTGTGAATTGTATCACTTCCCTCCCATTTCCACAAAT